TTTTCCAAAATTGTTTTTACCATTTTTAAGTCCTTAAGTTTTTAATATAAATTTTAAAATACTTTTGCCTATGCCTACAATGCAAGAAAGTCATTATAAAAAGTTTAGTATTATAAAATAAAAATTTAATTCTATTATGACAGTTACATATGTTCATCATTGAACATTTAGAAAATACAGAAAAGCATTAAGAAAAAACTATAATGGGGTCTCCCCCGGTGGTGCAGCGGTTGAGCACTGGGCTGCGAGGCTGCCTGCAGCCTCTGCAGCGCCGGTTTGTTCCCCGGCCGCTGGCGAGGGTCCCACAAAAAAACAAAAACAAAAAACCCAAAAACCAAAAACTATAATGGACCTCCATAGGAAAGCCATCAGAGTAAGCAAACATTTGGGGAACGTGCCCCAAAGGTCAAATTAAACTAACACTGCCTGATAGCATGTCAAGTGATAGGTGCTATGTTAGGCTTAACCTAACATTGTCAAATTAAATCATTGAATGAATTTTTATTTATACTTGACTCTTAAGAACACTGAAACTCAGAAAGGTTAAATAATGTGTCAAAAGTCACATATTTAACAAATGATAGAGCCACAGTTTTAACTGTAAGTCATACAAAGTCCTTTGTAATTTAGCTGTGCCTCATCTATTACCATCTCATACTTGATGACTTTCCTGTTTCTTACTTTAATGATTTTTTTTAAAGATTTATTTATTCATGCATACAAGAACCGGGGTACAGGCCAGCTGCGTGTCAGGGTGAGAGGATTCACCAGAGACAGAGTGGGGAACAGAACAGGCAGACTGACGAAATACACTGCTGAGGGGTGCAGCGGGCAAGACAGGAGAGGTCTGCCACGCCATGTGGGATTCTCGCTGGCTGGCTGGGATTGAACCTGCGCATAGTGGCTGTCGATTGCTTCATAAGTGCAGTGTCCAACCCCTTGCGCCACCAGGGAGGCCCACCTTGATGATTTTGGATATGAGATTTCTTCTGCTAGGTATCCTCATTTCCCTTTTGATAACTTAGGATTTTATTTTTTGAAATGTAGCTCAACTGTCACCTCCTCTAAGGAGTCCTAACAGCATGTGATTCCCCTCTTTCTGCACCCATCTCCATACCTTGTCTTTATCTTGATACTGGCTACCAGAGCTACCTTTTATATGGTTCTAATTGCACTCACTAGTGTAATAATTTATTTATTTTTGTCTGTCTTAAAGAGGCTTTGAGTCAAACAATGCAGGGACTGTTTTATTTGTGATGCTCCAGTCAATAGCACAGTATTTGGCCATTTGTGACTTTATAGATTTATCAATTGAAATAGAACTAATCACTTCCTATAGGTAGAAGTGATAGCTGAATGCATAGAGTGAGTAGGTAGGTGAAAAAATGTGTGACTTGGGTTGAAAATAAAAGTAGAGAACGGTGAAGCCTCTTATGACTGGAGGACCTTCACTTAGAGACATTCTTCAGTCCTTGAAAAAGAATCATGACAGATAAATCTGCATGGCAGAATAGGTGTGTAGGTTTCAGAGTTCACCTCCTGCTTTGAGAGTTTATAATTTCATTTGGGGAAAATATTCCTAAGAGAAACCAGAAACTGGATTAAAAAAAAAAACACAACTTGCTATTGAGTAGCACCAAGGAGCACAGCAGCTTACAGTCATATTTTTAAGTGATTTTCCTGATCATAAGCATTTGCATGTACTTCATTTAGCTAAATATTATTATTTATTTTTATTACAATATATAATATGCATATGTAATTTCTACATCATGTATATACTTTATAATTACTATTTTTACTAGAATGTAAAATTTATATGCAAGGTGTGGTGTAATGTTTTATAGAATTCTGTGTCTACCAGATGCTGATCTTTTTTGGTTATATGGGTTGCAAATATCTTCTCCAAATTATCCTTTAATGTTTTACTTTGTTTATAGTACCTTTCATTTTAAAAGAACTGAAAAATTGGGCCTCCACGGTGGCGCAGCAGTTGAGCGCTGGGTTGTGAAGCTGCCCGCAGCCTCTGCTGCGCAGGTTCGATCCCCGGCTGCTCCCCGGCCACCAGAGGAGGGTCCCACATGGCGCACAGACCTCTCCTGCCGCCCGTTGCTCCCCTCAGCAGTGTACTTCGGTCCTTCTGCCTGCTCTGCTTCCCGCTCTGGCTCTGGTGAATTTTCTCACCCTCCCGTGCTTCTGACTGTACCTAGGGCTCGTATAAATAAATGAATAAATAAATAAATAAATAAATAAATAAATAAATAAATCTTTAAAAAAAAGAACTGAAAAATTATATATACTTAAATTTATCTTTTTTTTTCTTATGGTGTGAATTTTGTTGTCTTCATTTAAGAAATCCTCTGTGCTCTTCATGATGGTATTATTGTTTTTTTTCTTCTATAATTTTTATTTTTTAAAAGATTTATTTATTTATTTATACAAGCACTGGGTACAGTCAAAAGCACGGGAGGGTGAGAGAATTCACCAGAGCCAGAGCGGAGAACAGAATAGGCAGACTGACGAAATACACTGCTGAGGGGAGCAGTGGGCACGGCAGGAGAAGTCTGTTGCGCCATGTGGGACCCTCGCTGGTGGCCGGGGATCGAGCCAGCGCTGCAGAGGCCGCGGGCAGCTTCGCAGCCCAGTGCTCAATCGCTGCGCCAACAGGGGAGGCCCTGTTTATTTTCTTCTATAATTTTTAAACCTTTTTCCTATTTAGTCTAAAATTAAAATTCACCTGTGGCTTGAAGTTCTGTTTTTCTTCTATGGGCTGATTGCATTGTCAGGATACGTTAGTTATGCTGCAGTTACAAATTAAGCCCTAAATCCCAGTGCCTTAACCCAACAAAGGTTTGTTTCTTGCCTCTAAATGTCCAACATTGGTGGTCACTTGGGGGTGCTGTGAGCATGGGTGGTTCTCTGCTCCACAGGTCTCTCAGATACCCAGGTGGAAGTGGCTCTGCTAATTTCTTCCAGAATGTACAGCCTCCTCCTTAACACTGCTAGAGAAGAGAGTATACGAAAATCTCATTCCTGTTGCTTGGATTGTTAAGTACTATTAATGTCTACCAATTAACTAGCTGTTCCAACATTATTTACTGAATAGTCATATAACCCCCCCCTTTGATTTGTGACATCATCTCTATTAGGTAATCTTATGTCTGTTTAAGCAAGAATTTGTTTCCGGGCTCTCTGTTTTATTCTGTTGTTCTAATGGTCTGTTCTTGGCAAATACTATATACTTTTGATCACTACCCCTGTGTAATGGCTTTATATGTGATACGGTGAGTCACCTACATTGTCCTTTTTCCTCAAAAAACATATTTTTTTGCTTATAGTTGGCTGGTTGCCTCCATATAAATTTTAGAAGCAGTTTGTCAACTTGCATGACAAAGCCTGCTAGATTTTGACTGGAATTACATTTAATTTATAGATTAATTTGGTAATACGTGACATCTTAAAGATATTCAATCTTGCTATCCATAAATACTTGTTTTAAATCCCTCAATTGTGTTTTAAATTGTTCTGAATAAAATTCTGTCATCTCTTTTGCTAGATTTATTTCTAGGTATCTTATAGATCACTTTAAATAATTTCAATAGAATTTTAAAATCACAATTTAAAATTGTGATTTATGTGTATGAATATAATTTACTTTTTTTGGTATTGATTTTATTTTCAGTAAATAGTCTGAACTTTTTTTTTTTTTGGTTCTAGTTTTTGTTCTGCATACTCTCTTGAATTACAACACAAAAATTACAGTTTTCCTTCCCATTCTTAGACTCTTTTTTTTCTTTCCTCCCTTTGCTTTCCCTTCCATTCTGTTCCTTTTTCTTTTCTCTCACTCTATCCCATCTTCTTTTTAAAAATTTTTATTTTCTTTCATTTTTGCATAGAAGAACTGGGGTATAGGCCAGAGGTGTGGAGTGAGAGGATTCACCAAAGACAGAGTGGGGAGCAGAACAGGCAGATCTACTGAAATACACAGCTGAAGGGAGCAGGTGGCAAGCAGGAGAGTCTGCTGTGCCATATGTGGGTTAGTGCCTGGCCAGGGATGAAACTCAGGCCATACATAGAGTGTTAGTACTGGGAGTTAACCGCTAGGCCACCAGGGAGGTCCCCTCCCTCCCTTTCTTTTTTCTGTACTAACTTGGACCTTCCATTTGAGTTTGTTCAAACATGAAAGCAGGCCTCTTACCTTCTCACTGACTTCAAAAAGGATGCCTCTATTATTCAGTTTTCTCTAGGTATGTACCTTTGCCTTTTGAAGGAATTCCCATTTGTCTTCATTCTTTGCTAAGAGTTTTTATTACTGACAATTGCAGCTGAATTCATTTACTGTTCTGCTGAAGATTTTGCTACCTGTCATCGGCTTTTGTACCTGATTTTCCCATTATTCTGGAGTTGATCACTAGAGAATGTTTACAGCTGCATATGCTGCTTTTCCTAAGTGATAAGTAATCTCAACGTTTTAATGATTATAGACTTTTTTTTCTATGACTCGACTTCTTTTTGTATCTTACACATAAAAATCTATTTATATGTGTGGATAATATATGAAGTGCCCACATCAAGATTTTAGTTGCTAGGAACGCTAGGAGCCAACTCAGAAAACAGAATAATAAGTTTAGGTAATGCTGCTCATTTAAAACTATTGATAATTCAATAATTGATATTTTTATAACATTATCAGAAAATTTTAAATTTATGAGATTCATGAGTTTTATTATTCAGAATACCATTTTTGTTTAGGTAATAAAAATTTAGAGTGAACTATAGGAGGAATAAGGAGATGGCTAATTTTCATCTTTTGGGTAATAGTTGCAAATATCTTTCAATCCCTACACCCCTGAGGCTTGCAGATTAATTGTAACTACTCAAAGGCAAGGACACCCATTCTTGGAGTTAGTCAGCAAAGGTTATAGCAATTCAATTGTGTCAGTTACTCCATGAATTCTCTCACATTGGTGGTTCTATAACTGTCAGTAACTGACTTCTTAGTTAGCAAGATAGCTATTGAAGTTCTTTGGGAGGAAAAAGATGGATTTTCTTTTATAAAAAGAATTAAGTTTAAAGCAAACCAGAGCTCTAAATCTAAGGTACTGTCTCCTCAGAGTTTATGCTCAGGTATTTTTGTCTGAAGGGCAGAAGCCGCTTTAGATGTCTACTTCCAGGCTGGTTACTGATCCAGAGGGATTATGTGGGTGATAAACTGTCACTGTCATTTTACAACTGAGGGCAAAGTCTATTTGTGTATATAAATTGGTACTATAGAACATTTAATCCTAAAGATTGCTGGGTAATAGAAATTTTCTATCTGAAATTATAGCCAACTCTCCACTTTCCACTTGTGTACTTCTGAGTTTTCATGTGAAATTGCTATAGCAGAGTATGGTGAGAATTTCCAAACATGTCATAAAAATATTGCGCCTTACTGATGTTTTTTAGAGAAAGGGAAAATGACCATATATTAACCACTTTTTATTTTGGAGCAAATTTAAAAATGAATGACTAAGACAAATGACCTAGCGTGGAACTGAGAGGTAGCATATCTCCCCATGTAGTAGACTGAGGAAAAACGCCCATCTGTAGTGACAGTAGTTTCATTATTAATGGAAGTCATCAGAGATCTTCCAGTAGCCTTCCCAGCCCTATTCTCTTGTAAGAGAACTCTTTGGTTATATTGGGGAGTTGAGTTCATATTCTGACATGACTATTGAAGATCCTCACTCTCCTGCAGAGCTTCCAGAACCCTGGCTCTCTCTCATCTGGAACATACTTACTCCAGGTCAGCAAGATTGTCAATCACCAAGTTTGAGACCTGCAGGTGATGCCATTCATGATAGAGTCTTGCAAAATCTGGAAGTCTCAATTATTGCTGTATCAATAATTAAGCAAAGCATGTGGTGAACTCTTTTTTTTTTTTAAGATTTATTTATTTATACAAGCACCGGGTACAGTCAGAAGTGCGGGAGGGTGAGAGAATTCACCAGACCCAGAGTGGGGAACAGAACAGGTAGACCGACGAAATACACTGCTGAGGGGAGCAGTGAGCATGGCAGGAGAGGTCTGTGTGCCATGTGGCTGGGGATCGAACCGGCGCTACAGAGGCTGCGGGCAGCTTCGCAGCCCAGCGTTCAACCGCTGCGCCACCAGGGGAGGTCCCATGTGGTGAACTCTTTGAATTGTTTAGGACAAAATAGACTCTGGCAATCCTTATGCTTTAGTTTCACAGAATGTCTACAGTGTTCTTGATCCTTGAACAGAACAGCAGGGGGAGAGCAGAGTTAATTCCATGTATCCCTGAAGAACACACACATACACGCACACACGCACGCACGCACACACATATTTATTTTATTTTTGTTCTATCCAGCTTTCCAGTCTTCTGCTAAGTCCATTTCTCTGAAAGCACATATTACATTGGCAATAATTATTTGTTTGGTTCTGTTTCCTAATAGGCTCTGAATTTTCAGAGGGTAAACACATTCTCATATTCATCTCAGTATCTCCAATTTTGGGGCATATAGATCATAGTTACTGAGTCTGGGGTAGTAAAATGTTATAAATATTAGTAGGTGCTTGTCCCTTTTACTCCACCAGTTATTACCTATCACTGCTACCCTTTCTTCCTTTGGGCAACTCGGCAGTCTGTCTAAATTTTCTCATTGAAGTAGTGATGAAGTAGATCATGATAACAAAGCAAAAAAACCTTGCACCTTAAGGTTCAATATCATAGGCTCAGATACATAAAACAAATATTTGGATTAATACAAAATAAGTAAGAACACTCCAGACACGATGAAGATTCTCCTGATTGTGATAGGAGTTGCCAGTATATCACAACTAGTGAGAAAGATGAGACTATGGCCTGCTGTCCTCCCTTCAGCCTTAGATGATCTCCACTTAACAGAGCAAGAAGCAGATATAGTTCAGAGGCTGAGGTAGAGGACATGAAGAGGCCTTATGAGTAGGAATGAGAAGAAATCAGGAGTTACTTTGGGACAAAAATGGATGGGTGTCAGCATCAAGGACCTCTATACCTTAGTATTGTGGAACCTCAACTCAATACACACACACTAAGTCCTTCAAATCCTGAGAATGGGTTCAGGGGGATCTGCATGGGCTCTAATAATGTACTTATTATCCAGAATAAATAAGAATATTTCAAAAGTACTAATGATTTCACTCTTCAATTTGTGGACTAAGGTTTATACTAAGATATATACAAGCCATGAATATTTGTAATTGCATGTATGTGGTCAAGATGAGTCTAGCAAAGGAGATGATGTGACTCAGGAGTACTACAAAAAGGTGGGACTTTTTCAAGAAGCCTCCTTTTGACCCCTCTTCAAGACTTAAGTGGCCCAGCTTTGTTCACCCATAATACACTGTTCAAACTCTGAGTTCTCCTTATAATAAAATGATCTTTTTTGGTATAGGATGAACTTGGGACCATATATACTTATTGTTAATAGAACACCTTTCTTTTTTAAAATTGTTGCAGCTTTGAGAATAAAGTTTGGGGCACCCTATTTATGCATCTCTTTGTACCATTAGACTAGGTTCCTTCAGAGCAAAGCCCATGCCTTAGTATCTATCTTAAGATCCTGAACAGTGAAGCATATTGTGGACACTCAATAAAAGTTCATTGAACTGATTAGCTCACGTATTTCACAAAATGTCAAAAATCATTTTCTGCCAGTAAAAATCCATAAAGAAGAAGAAATTCAAGGCAGCTGTATCAGTTAGGGTTGCTCCAAGAAACAGATGCCACATTCAAAACGGGTGATTTGAGGAGAGTGTCATAAAGGGATAGTTACAAAGGTGTGAAGGGATTTTACTCAAAATCCAAGCGGCAGTAAATGTAGGGTGAGGGAAATGATTTGGGGTGTTAGGGAAAGAGAGTTGTATGGAGAAGGTGGCTTGACAAAAGCTGTGATCCTTAGTTGAGAGTTGTCACTACCCCACAATGCTACCAAGTGAGAGTGTTGATAAATATGGTCCTTACCTTATTCTCCTTCTTTTGAAAAATCTCTGGTTGGTGCTCTCCTTTGACTACTGAACTGAACAGGAGAGACTTCGATACATTTCCTGAGACACAGCATTATAGAGAAAACTGCAGAGTGGGTCTGAGGGCAAATGGAAGATCTGAAGCAACTCTAGGGAAAAAAAAAATAGAACATGGGGGAAGGGTAGAGGAGATCAAAATAATCTCTGAGGTCAAGAGATGTGACAGTAACGACATGATTTTCTATGGCTCCTGGAATTACTGAAGGGAATGACCACATTCTCTGTTTATATTGTTTAAGATTTGTATCTGCCTAAGACTAAGACCTCTAGCACCAGTATGGGGCCCAGAAGGTTCTCAGTAATTATGGACTGAATGAATGAATGGAAGACTTACAGGGGCCTATGTGGCTACAGGTGCAGTTCAATCAAGACGACGTCTACCCTCAGCCATTGTAAGCCTGGTGAACACTTTCAAGGAATGGGGATTTTTAAAGATGCAGGTGATAATGTTTAATTCAGTGTTTAGGGGAAGAGAATACATTTCGTAGATCTAATTTTATACTCATGTGAGAGGAGTAATCTTTGGTTAGGAAGGAACGAGTTTTCAGACCTCATCATAATGTTTGCATTAGTTTGGCTATAATGCATTAATGTATATTAAATATGATTTGTTGTTTTTTTAAACTTCATTCTAACACTATGCCAACAATATTGCAACAAGTCAGGGGGTGGATAGGCACATCTGACTCAGAACTCATATACTTTGAAAAATGCTGGGCAGATTGGGGCAGGAGGCAGGTGTGGGTATGATGTTTAAGCAAGGTTAGTAAAAGCAGAGTCCATGAATATAAGTGCCGAGGAAACTCAGGGAAGTATGTACTGACACAGATGTTCCATTGTTTAGCTCTGCACAGCACTGGGTCTACTCACTGATCAGGGCCAGGCTTTAATGCAAAATTAACCAGAAGTAATGGTAAACAACAAGCACCTGGCAGAGCGGATGTGCTCAGTAAACAGTCCCTGACTGTTGTGAGGAGTTAGTGCTTTGTATTATATTACTCTTTAACTGACTTTTCATAGCCAGGTAGGAACAGCTTAGATGCATCATTCTCATTGTTTTTTTATGTCATCTTTCAGAGGCACTATTATGAAGGAGAGGACAAGGTACAGATTCCAGCTGTGTTAAAATAGTGCTAAGTGAGGGGGGTGGGTCACTCTCTGTGGGTTCTCACCTGTGCACCTGGTTAATTTGCTGAGTAATAAAGATAGAAATGTGGCCATGCCAGTCCACACTGTGGTCATTGATTTAGTCATGACAGGAGCCAAAGTCTAGCTTTGTTTTACTTGGGTCAGACAGAATGCATTTGTAGCACTGAAGTGGGTGCTATTCCTGACCACAAATCGGAATCATGTGTGGGCAGTTAATTTCAATCAAGATAATATGAAGCAAAGTGGTGGATGGATGTACTAGGAATTACATTTCTACCATGGTATCTTCCAGTCAAAGGAAACCAGAATATCTACGGAGGAAGGCATCCTCATTGCCCCTGACCACTTTCCCTTTATTTACCTTACCAATATTCAAACTACTGCTATTAACCTCCAACTACTGAGTGTCTCCTACACATGGGGCCTTTATAATACAACTTTCAATCATTATTTCTAACCAGCCCACTATCATCTTGTGATGTAGCCATTTTTATCCCCATATTATTGATGAAGAAATTGAGATCATATGGAAAATCATTGGTGGACATGGTATTTGAAAACAGAAAAAAATGTCTGATGGTAAGCTACCAGAATCCTCTGTTTGTGCTGATCATTTTGTTGGGCATTTCTAAAACTCCATAGTGCAAAGGCGTGGACACACCTAGGGTTTCCAGTGATACAGTCTTTACATTTAAAATCTACTCTTTAAATACACAGGTTGTGGAGAATGAATGAATGCAGAGATTGTGGCTCATGACTGGTCAAGCTGGGGTTCCAGGGTACACTTGTTGGTCAAGAGACTCGTGTAGGTAGCACATGGACAAAGGTTACTTGAAAAAATGACCATGTGTAGGGTAAGGAAAAATGTCAGGCTTTT